AGACTGTCTCTGCATAGTGGACTCTGGTGGTATGTAGAATCTCCTCCCCCAAAACCGTTAACAGTTACCATTAGAAAATTTAAGGCAAACGGAGACACAACTGTCACTCTTCAGAACATACTGTTAGTGAAATGGGTCCCTTCCCATAGCTTAGTCCACTCCTTCCCTCTCCACAGCTTAGCATCCTCCCTTCCTAGGCAACACCAGGCCCATGTAGTAAAGGCAGTAAATAATCATCTTCCAACCCCCTTTACCTTGGCATGGCACTTCTCTGGGGCAGCTACCACCATATAAGGTAACAAGAGCCCCTTAGAGTGACCTTCAGATCTTGGCAGTTGCAGGACCCTTATCTACCACTTGGATGGCAGCCATAAATCCTAGTCCGACATGGTGAATGAAGCCCCTGGCCCACACCAGTGCCTTCGCCTGCTAGCCCTTTGTAGCCCCTCCTAATCCTCCTAGGTTATATAGGTGATCCCAGACAATAGCCTGTGCTTCTTCTCATTCCTCCCTCATGAAAATGAGTCTTGCTGGCTTCCCTCTCCTGGCAATAAGCCTTGGCAATAAACCTTTCTTTGTTCTCTGTACGTGGATATCTGTGTGGTTCTCTGGCAAAGTCTATTAATCTTAAATTTGCTAACACATACTGTTAGGAAAAAGAAGATATGGAAAAATTGCCTCCATTACCTTAATACAACTAGATACTTAAATAAATAATTTAAATTAAATCTTAAATAATAAATTATTAAGATTGAATATTATTATTTAAAATTATTATTATTTAAGATTATTTTGTGCTGTGCCCACATTTGAATTTGTATTTGGTCTCACAACATCGCAGGGGAAAAACAGGATTTCCAGAAAGTGCTTCCTCTCACCTGGCTTAGCTGGAAGAGTTAGGTCCTCAGCCAGCCCACAGAAAGCTAAGACATTAGATCTAACTCTGGGTAACAACTCTAAACGTCCACTTCCACTAGTGTAGCGCAAAGCATAGTGGGAAATGTAGTCTTCCCCAGGCACAGACACATTGGCAGGGCTCTTTCAGGCTCCTCCTCTGCATGCGTCTCCCCGCCCACTCGCGGCGTTTTCTGCGTTTCTGGCGCTGAGCCAAGCTCCTGGGAAGTTTCTGGAGTGAAGTTCAGAGTTCTGAATGCCTGAGCCGGGGTGGCAAGCGGCCCCGCCGTGCCTGGCCAACGTGGGGACCTGAAATGTGAGTGGATGGCAGGCAGGCAGGAAAACGGGCTGCAAGCGGCAGCTGGAGCCGGGCGGGTAGCCTGGAGGCTCCACGCACTGCCAGTCCCTCCGGTCTGGGTGACTGTGCCTGGGGTCGTGATTGCTTTGTCAGAGTCGGTTCTGCCAGAGTCAGTGTCCTTCCAGGTGCCGGAACCTAGCTGGCTCGGGAAGGCTCGCGGGCAGGCTAGAAGGTTGTCCAGACTAGGAGAGCTGGGGAGGCCTGCGCTTCTGTTCCACGCCTGATTCTGCTGTGAGCCAGTGTGATGACATCATTTGTCCAGCTGAACGATGGACGAGTCACAATTCTAGTGAGGTTGTGAAGGGTGTGCTGGCCGAGTCATGTGCTATGGCAGTTGTGTTGGTGGGGTTCTGTGTTGTTTCTTGTAGGACGTTTCTAGTCCTTCAGGGCGCTGTAGCCCTCTTAGCACTCCTGGCTCCAGTTCACACATGTTTGTACACGACTGGCTGATGGACCTGTATTCCTTGGAATTAAGTAAGCGTGGCAGATTCGAAGGAGGGCAGATTCTGAACAGGAGTGTGCATCCTGAAAGAACACTGTCCTTGTGAACTGTCACTAGCCCTAAAGAGCAGAGGCAGAGAAGCACTAGAAGGGGAAGATCTTGTTTCACTTTGGAAGATATTGTATCACTTTGGAAATTTTTGTGGGGACAGGGGTGAGGGAAGTGAATGAAGTCAATGTCGCACAAACATTGCTTGAAAATATTTCACTTGAAAGATTCTGCTCCTTTTCATATCCTCAGCATTTCCTGTGGCTTTTGTGACTGAAAAATATTACTAATATGGATATATTGCACTTTTAATATGTTCTTGAAATATTACATATTCTTCAGTACAATAATGAACTTATTTTACATTACTTAAAATAGAGTGGACTGCATATACTTTTGTCCTAACCCTGATTCCCTCCCTCTTGTTTTTTTTTTCTTTTTGTCTTTTGCCAGTGGTGAGGCTTGAACTTGGCCTGGGCACTGTTCCTAAGTTCCTGAACTCAAGGCAAGTACTCTACCACCTGAGCCACAGCACCACCTCCACTTTTCTGGTGGTTAATTGGAGATAACATTTGTAGGCAGAAATTCCATAATATGATTTTTTTTTTTTTGCTCTAGGGATGTCCAAAAGAAAAACAAAAAGAAAAAGTCCTCATGAAATATATGAAAATTTCATTCCCATAAATTGAGATATTCAGCCTATAACAAATTTATTTTATTTTATTTTTTTGTGTTTTTTTTTTGGGGGGGGGGGGGTCCGGTTGTGGGGCCTGAACTCTGGGCCTGGGCGCTGTCCCTCAGCTCTTCAGCTCAAGGATAGGGCTCTACCACTTGAGCCACAGCGCCACTTCCGGCATTTTTCTTTTTGCTTATGTGGTGCTGAGGAATTGAACCCAGGGCCTCAGGCATGCAAGGCAAGCGCTCTACCACTGAGCCACCTTCCCAGCCCCTTTTTTTTGGGTGGGGGGGGTCCGGTCCTGGGGCCTGAACTCTGGGCCTGGGGGCTGTCCCTCAGCTCTTCAGCTCAAGGATAGGGCTCTACCACTTGAGCCACAGCGCCACTTCCGGCTTTTTTCTTTTTGCTTATGTGGTGCTGAGGAATCGAACCCAGGGCCTCAGGCATGCAAGGCAAGTGCTCTACCACTGAGCCACCTTCCCAGCCCCCTATTTTATGTTTTTTAAAGTAAAAAACAAACTATTGTAATGCAGAAAAAGTTAAAACTAGAATTCATACATTGCCCTTTAATGATTCACTTGGTCTTGAGAAGGCTGGCCTGGCCAAAGTGCAACCATATTGGATATTAAGGCCATTTTGTAAAAAAGGCTTTTACTAACACAAGTTCAGGTTCCTAGAAAAATGGCAGGACCAAAACCGCTCTACTGGTAACTCCCTAGCAACAGTCAATCAGTAACTAGCAGGAAAGTAAAACTCCAGATTTTTAAGATAGCATAGTTAACATATTTTGCTGCTCAACTGCTTAGCCTGAGCACTTTAGCCAATAAGATTGTTACAAGACTTACCAATCATGTAACCACTAAGTTGGAAACCTCCTATCCTTGCTAAAACCACAATAAAAACCCTGCTGAATTGGAAGTCAGGGCTCTCAACTCTGACCCGCTGTGTTGGTGAAGGTTATGAGTCCAGGCTGGAGCTTGCAATAAATGACTCTCCTGTGCTTGCATCAGAATCGGTTCATTGGTGGTCTTTGGGGATCCTTATCTGGGCATAGCAGTCTTTACTTGCAAAAGCAAACTCACTGAATTCTAGGCAATTGACTTTTGTGGTGATTTGCATTATTCATCCACTGGTTGAAAAGTTCACTTCATTGTACTTCAGAAATTTGTCTCCTACATAGTTTTATTAAAAACAAAGCTGTAGATGACCTAGAATTTCCTATATAATTTACCACCAATATATACTGGCAAAAATATGCAGTCATTTCATTCATTTAAAGTTTTGAGAAGCTACATTTTAGGCTGGACTCAGCATTGCATTTCTGTTAGTATTGATTGTTGAACAGATGAGGCTTTACTCATGTCATTTTCTTACTGAGGATAGTTGGTTTAGGATGATATCATTCCTATTAAAAGTAAGTTATGTTCTTGATTAGGCTGTGTATATCCAGCAGAATAGCCAAGATTCTTAACAATATATTGTGTTAAGGGAGGCCGTCACTAAAGAATTTTCAAAACTTTGTTCACACAATATTCATTGACATCTTTTTGGCCAAAGCAAGTTAAATGACAAAGTCCAGATCAATGCTTGAGGCTACTTTGTTAGAGAAAGATGAGCTATCTGGGATCCATTATTGAAACAGGAAGCCACAAGAAATATATATTCTATTCACTTTCTCCTGTAATTCTGAATTTAAAATACTGAGTTGTAACCAACATTTTGCATGATGTTTAAATATTCCAAAACATGAGATATAGTAAAATACTCAATGGAGTCCTATGTGATATCTTTACATTAACCAGAAAATAGTTCATAGATTCCTAAGTGCAATTCTGTAATTTCTAATTTTAGTACAGAGATTATATGTCTCTCTTGACTTAGATTATTCAACAATTTTTTAGCGAAAAGGTCTTCTGTACAGGAAGGTGGTTTTTTCTTTTCTTTTCTTTTCCAATTCATGTGAATGTATTGCCTTGAGCAGGAAAATTTAAGACAAATTTGAAAGATTAAAAATTAGAGTTATATTTTACAATTGCTAATTGCTGATTTTTCTTTTGTAAACTTGCTCGCGCTAGCACTAACCCCTACCCCCATCCCCCTTTCTGGAAACAAGGAATTGAGTAAAAAGTTTCGGAGCCCAGATGCCTGCCCTGGGACTAGATCTGTGGTCATAGATAAAGAACAAACAAGTAAATTCCCCAAGTGGCCAAATGGGATACAAGAATGGGACCCAAGATAAGGACCCAAGATAAGGACCACCTGGCAAGTCCAGCAAACTAAGCCAAATGTTAATCAATCTCAAGCCTGTAACTATGTAAACTCCCCTCCAGGGTGATGCTCCCCCTAGACTTGCCCCAAGCCAACTGTTTTACAAAGAGTGTTATAAACTTCCCCGCAGATTGTATAGTGACTTTTAAATGGGCCACTCCTGGGACACCTGGTGTTATATGCTAATCTTGTGGTTTTTGCCTTTAAGAATGCCTGTAACCACTGCTCAGGGATCTCTCCCTTGCTGGTGCAGAGAGACCATTTGCACAAACGCTGAATTAACTCCTCTTGCTTGTTGCATCTACTGGTTTGGAGTCTTGGTTTCTGGAGCACCCTCCCATAGACGAAAGTATCCCAGGAGTCTGGGATCTTTCAAAATTCATATTGGTTCTTTCCTGATTCCATTTCATTTGCTTTCTTTTCCAGCTTTGCTTTCATAATCATCTCTGCATTGCCAACAGCAACAAAAAATGAGTGGATCCCTGGTGAGTTTTTTGCTTATGTCTTTCTTTGCTTTTTAGGAACTTTTTATTAACAATGTGCTCCAAAATTAAAATGGAAGAATAGAAAATATTTAGCCTCAGGAAAACATTCATAAATAAGATAAAGATGGCTTTTAGATTTAGTAGATTATATGTTCTTAAGAGTCAAACTGAGGGAGGGGGCTGGGAAGTAGCTCAGTGGTAGAGTGCTTGCCATGCATGCATGAGGCCCTGGGTTCGATTCCTCAGCACCACATAAGCAGAAAAATAAAAAGCCAGAAGTGACACTGTGGCTCAAGTTGGTAGAGTGCTAGCCTTGAGCTGAAGAGCTGAGGGACAGCACCCACCCAGAGTTCAGGCCACCCTCAAAAAAAAAGAGTCAAACTGAGTTTGAATACAAGTTTACCTCAAATTTGTCTCTGTTTTTACTGATGTGAGAAAAAGTAGCAAGCGCTACATGATCCACTGACACTTAGGAGGTAGTATGCTAACTTCTTATGGAATGTAGATTTGCTGGCCCTTGGTCAGAAATCTTACCCTTATTAGACACAAATTAAACTATCTTCATGATGCTAAACTGGGTAGTGATTATTTTTGGAGTAAATGAATTAGTATGATTCCAAGTATCTTTGAATGTTAAAGGCCTGAGTAAGCCATCTACATGAAGAATTAGAAAAATTAGGACTGCGTCCATTTTACAATTTAATAACTGCCGATTCTGCTTCTGTAAACTTGCTTGTGCTAGCACAGACCCTCCCGGGAAATAAGTAAAAAAGTTTCAGAGTCCAGATACAGGCCCTGGGACAAGGTCTGCAGACATAGATAAAGAACAAAAGAGTATGTTCTTCTAAATTCCTGTTTAGAAACTCTCAGCAAGGGACTCAAGATAAAGACCATCTGGCAAGCCCAGCAAACTAGGTCAAATGTCAACCAATCACGAGCCTGTAACTATGTAGCCTCCCCTCCAGGGAAGCCTCCCCCTAGAGAGCCAACCAGTTTATGACGAGTGTTACAAGACTTCCTGAGCAACAAAATGATTGCTGGAGTATATGATGATTTTTAAATTGAGCCAATCCCGGGGCACCCGGTGTCTTATGCTAATCCTGTGGTTTTTGCCTTTAAAAGTGCCTGTAATGGCTGCTCAGGGCTCCCTGTCTGCCCAGGACCGAGAGTCCGTTTGCGCAAACGCCAAATAAACTCCTCTTGCTTGTTGCATCTGCTGGTTTGGAGTCTTGGTTCCTGGGGTGCCCTCCCATTGAAGAAAGTATCCCAGTGAGTCTGGGGTCTTTCATATATACTTAAATGACTGTCCACATATAACCCTTGGCTGTTGGGTCTTTTCTATAGGGAGTGGAACAGGCTGCATGGAGTTGTATTTTTTTCCAAAGCTCATCAATTGCTTAAATTACTGTCAAACCCCATGACTGCATTTATTGTTTTTCTTACTTGACTGTTGTGCTATATTTAAAGACTTTGTCTGTGGCCTTTCTAGAAATATGTTTGTATTCACTTTTAAATTGACCTCCTACGCTATTTTCCTCCATTACTCTCTTTCTTTCCTTTTATTATTATTTTTTCTTTTTTTGGGGGGGGGGTCCAGTAGTGGGGCCTGGGCGCTATCCCTCAGCTCTTCAGCTCAAGGTTAGCGCTTTACCACTTGAGCCACAGCACTACTTCCGGCTTTTTTTTTTTCTTTTTGTTTATGTGGTGCTAAGGAATCGAACCCAGGGCCTCATGCATGCAAGGCAAGCGCTCTACCACTGAGCCACCTTCCCAGCCCCTTATTATTATTTTTTAATTAAACAAAAGTTTACACTTACGTAAGTCAGGCAAAGAGATATCCTTTTGGATAATGTCACTCCCTCCCTCACTTTTCCCCAGTTTTTTTCCTCCCTTCATACCCACAAGTTCTATAGTTCATTTTCAACACTGTTTCCAGTGAGTACCATTGCTTTCCTTTTATTTGAAAATAGAGACATTGGTGATAAGGGTCCTTGATCAAAGGAACGAAACTAATACAAAGTGAAGTCAAGCAAAGCTTTATTCCCTGCCAAGTATCAAGAATCAAACTAACTGGTCAGGGCCGTGTCTGTGGAGAGTGACCCCCACCTAGTCTCACAGGCTAGCTTTTATAGGGCAAAACAGCAAACTACATGTAGCTAATTTTACTCTTATTGGTTAAAACAGAAGGGTTACATATGTGCTTTTTACTGATTGGACACCTCCGCCTGGCCTGCCCTTCCCTCCCCCCCTCCCCCCAGGCTTCATTTCTGCTAACTGGCCGTTTTTGGAAATTGTTTTTCTTTTTTTCTTTTGGTTCTGTAAGGTATATTAACTAAGTAGGTTTCATTAGGTAGCCGATCAAGAGAACACCATGAGCTATTGAGGCAGGAAAAGAAGTTTATTTACCGAACTGCTGCCTCCCCTCTCCCCCACCATGGTTGGTGGAGAAGCACAGCTGAAAAGGAAAAGGGGGGTAGGGGAGGAAGAGCTGTGACCCCCCTGTGAGCCAGGACTTATCTAGGCCTGGGGCAGGAAGAGGTGTGGTCACACTGGATCTGGATGTGACCTCAGGGTCTGGGACCCTCCTAGGGTCAGATGGAAGGCATGTGACCAGAGGTGGCCCAGGATATGACCTAGTAGGAGGGGAAGGTGACTGCTTCCAGGTCTGCCAGTTACCTGGGTAACATATACTGGGTGGAAACTTAGCCAAAAAGGAGAGAGGTGTCCCTGTGCAGACCTTACAGTTCCCTTACAGACAGAGTCGGTTTGCCCTTACTGCACAAAGAACAGGTGCGGGCAAGGTCAGCTCATACTTATACTTTACAAACCAGATGGCTGCCTTTACAAAATGGAGTTACTTTGGCTAAGCTGGACCTAACAATTGGGTTTTTGCTTATTTCATCTTGTGTTTATTTTTGTATTCTTTTTTTGGGGGGGGGGGGTCCGGTCGTGTGGCCTGAACCCTGGGCCTGGGCACTGTCCCTCAGCTCTTCAGCTCAAGGCTAGCGCTCTACCGCTTGATCCACAGTGTCACTTCCGGCTTTTTTCTTTTTGTTTATGTGGTGCTGAGGAATCGAACCCGGGGCCTCAGGCATGCAAGGCAAGCGCTTTACCACTGAGTCACCTTCCCAGCCCTATTTTTGTATTCTTAAAAGTATGCTTTTATGAGTGATATATTATTGAATTGTTTCCCTTTTTTCTCATGTCAGGCAATGGCATATATCTTTACTCCATTTACATTACATACTAATATGGTTTCATTTATGTCTACCATTTTGCTACTTACTTTCTCCTTGCTTTATCTGATATTTATTTGTTACTTTCTATCTTTTTAGGGGTGTGATCATATCTTTCTAGCGTAGTCATCTCTGGGTATCCACAAATAGCAAAATAGATGTTCATGTTTCTTATGTAAAACTGTGTTGTGATTTCATATAAGCAGCACACATCCATCTATATACTTAAAATCACCTCTGACATCTAGTACAAATTAAATGCAATGTAAGTCGTTGTTATTTGGTATTTTCCAGCGTATTATCACAAAATTTTAGGACTGTACATATTCAGTACAGTAGCTATGTGTTTTCAAAGTTCTGGATCCATAGTTGGTTGAATTTGTGGGACTCACAAATATGCAAGGCCCACTGTATTTTAAGGTTATCATGGATGAGCACTAATGGAGTGTGGTACTACATTTTCCCTCATGAATGAAAAATGAGTGATTTTACATTTACTGGAAGTTCATCCTCAGCCTGAAGCATGATGTTTTAGAAGAAGCCAAACCTACAGGCAATTGTTCTATTGTTCTTGAGTTCTCATCTCTAGAACTACAAGAAAATATATTTCTCTCTCAATTCTGTTTTTTTTTGGGGGGGGGAGGGGATCCGGTTGTGGGGCCTGAACTCTGGGCCTGGGTGCTGTCCCTCAGCTCTTCAGCTCAAGGCTAGCGCTCTACCACTTGAGCCACCGTACCACTTCCAGGTTTTTTTCTTTTTTGCTTATGTGGTGCTGAGGAATTGAACCCAGGGCCTCAGGCATGCAAGGCAAGCGCTCTACCACTGAGCCACCTTCCTAACCCCCTCAATTCTGTTTTGATATGGCAGCCTAGGAAACTAATATACTGTAATGCATTGCATTATTATTAGTTACTCTGAGTTTTGAATATGCTTAGAGTACTGTTTTACTGCATCAAAATCTATAGGTGCTTTACAAGGGAATAGCTCTATATATAAGCTTTATGCTTAATACCTTTAAAAAATTGGCTATATTGTGGCTTTGAACTTAGGGCATGACATGTACAAAGCAAGTGCAGTAGCAGCTGGATATTGGTTCTTTATCCCTAGTGCATGTACTTTTGTATTCAATACATGTATGTATGCACATATTGAATTGTCAATTATATGAATCACCTATATACTATTGTATTTTTGCATTAAGCCATCATTTAAAAAATTACATAAAATAAATATGTGTTTGTATCCATATCTGTGTGTGTGTGTGTGTGTGTGTGTGTGTGTGTGTGTGTGTGTGTGTGTAGAGGAGTAGTCCTTTATGCTTACCTACAATTTCACTATTTCTGTGATCCTGATTCTATGAGTGCGTCTAAGTTAGCACATATTGTGATGTAGCGCCTTTTCATGTAGCACTCTGGTAATGCAGGTGTGTTGCTGATAAATTAGCTTAATCAGAAAATATATTCAATACATATTTTTAGAATAGTTCCTCTGGAACTGTTGGAGTGAGGGAAGTTATTTTCTTTTAATACTTTATACACATATTTCCTTTTGGTGTATTGGGGGGTCATCATTCATTTCTGGTATTGTTAAGCATAGTGAAGTAGAAAAATGGTTAGTCATTCTTTTTTTGTAGTGAGACTCAGCATGGGAGTTTATCTTTCCTTGTGCCTTCTGCATAAGACATTAGTACCAAATACTGTTGTACCCTCTTTTATTTTCTTCCACATTTTGGATCGTTTCCCTGATTTTTTTTCTTTTCTTTTCTTTTTTTCTTCATTTTTGTTGGTTGTGGGGCTTGAACTCTGGGCCTGGGTGCTGTCCCTCAGCTCTTCAGCTTAAGGCTAGCACTCTATCACTGGAGCTACACCGCCACTTCCAGTTTTCTGGTTGTTTATTGGAGATAAGAGTCTCACAGACTTTCCTGCCTGGGCTGGCCTTGAACCGCAATCCTCAAAATCTCAGCCTCCTGAATAGCTAGGAGGCACCGGCTTTTTTGGTTTTTTTCCTAATGCTTAAACTCAGGGTGTGGAAACTATCCCTGAGCTTGTTTTGCTTAAGGCTAGTTCACTCTACCACTTGAGCTATAGCGCCACTTCTGGCCTTTTCTTCATGTATGTTAGGCCAGCACTCTACCACTGACCACCTTCCCAGCCCTTCCCTGATCTTTATTCTTATTTTTCTTTGCCTTGCTGGGGGTTGCTAGGTCTGACAGTGCTTTCTGATATTCTCTCTCTTAGTTCTTTTTCCATGTCCTTCCATCCTTCCATGAGGTACCAGTAAATGCAAATATGGTCAAGACACATTTTATTTCATTATGATTAATGTTTTATAATGCAGAAGGAGGGTGATGTCATAATAGTTAATGCTACCAGTTCTATGGTTTTTGGGAATGACATATAAGAAGGCTTCAGAACATCTTTAGGGTTATACTAATAATGAGACGTTTATTGTGAGAACTAAGTAAAATATTCTGTGTTCCAGATTTTACTAATCAGTTTCTTGAGTACTGTTACTTTCTTTAAACTTACCTAGGAACTGTGTTTTTATAGATCTGCTAATGTGGTTGGTACCCCTTGTTATTTCTTTCTTTATTTTTTTTTTGGTCCAGTCGTGGGCCTGAACTCTGGGCCTGGGCGCTGTCCCTCAGCTCTTAGGCTCAAGGCTAGTGCTCTACCTCTTGAGCCACAGAGCCACTTCCGGATTTTTTCCCCTGCTTATGTGGTGCTGAGGAATCGAACCCAGGGCCTCATGCATGCAAGGCAAGCGCTCTACCACTGAGCCACCTTCCCAGCCCTCTTTTTTTTTTAATGTTCATTTTTTTTTATTGTGAAAATACAGAGGGGTTACAATTACATGGGCAAGATAATGAGTACATTTCTTATCAAGCATTGTAGCCTCCTTTGTTTCCCCTTCCCATCCCTTCCCATCCTCCCCCCACCCCTCCACCCAATCCTCCCCACTTCCCCCCCACCAGAGCTGTAAAGTTCATTTTTGACATAACGACTTGTACATTGCATTGTTGCAATGGGTCCACCTGTATCCCTATTTAAACAATTTGTTTTTCTCCTTCCCCTCCACAAATTATACCCACATCAAATACAGTGAAAGCAGGGGTTATACTGTGGGGAAGGGACATACAAAGCAACAAAGAAATAGCCCCTTGTGGCTGGGAAGGTGGCTCAATGGTAGAGCGCTTGCCTTGCATGCTCAAGGCCCTGGGTTTGATTCCTCAGCACCACATAAGCAAAAAGAAAAAAGCCGGAAGTGGCGCTGTGGCTCAAGTGGTAGAGCGCTAGCCTTGAGCTGAAGAGCTGAGGGACAGCGCCCAGGCCCAGAGTTCAGGCCCCACGACCAGACCCAAAAAAAAATAAAATAAAATAACCCCTTGTGATTTCTTGACTGAGCTCTGGACGATCTAGATTCTAGGCATCTAGTTACAATTGATGCCAGTAGTGAAGGTCAGTAGCTCTTTAAAAGAGGAATCTTATCTTGTTTCTATTGCTAGCACCAGAAACACTTCCTGATTAATAAGGTAACTTATTTTAATAATTAATAAGTTTGTATAGAGGCAGCTATTCATACTTTGACTTTTCTTTCCTGTATTGCATAGATAACAGAGCAAGGTCCAGTCATTTTTTTTTTCCAGTCCTGAGGCTTGAACTCAGGGCCTGGGCATTGTCTCTGAGCTGCTTTTGTTCAAGGCTAGCACACTATCACTTGAGCCCCAGTGCCATTTCCAGCTTTTTCTGTTTATGTGGTACTGAGGAATTAAACCCAGGGCTTCATTCATGCTAGGCCAGCCCTCTACCAATAAGCAACATTCCTGGCTCTCCAACCATTTTATGTAAGACAGAAACATGCATGTAGAGAAATAGAGTCCTCAGAGTTGGTTATCTCATGACTCATGGCTAATGACTTCTTAAATATGCCGTTACAGGGGTTGGTATCATTTGAGGATGTGTCTGTGGACTTCAGCTGGGAGGAGTGGAAGGACCTGGATGATGCTCAGAGGACCCTGTATAAGGATGTAATGCTGGAGATCTATAGCAACCTGGTGTCCTTGGGTGAGCAAAGGTCACATTAATTCTCATGAGCAAGTGCTTTGTTCTTGATAGATATATGAATATGGATCAGATTTAATGCTATTTAGATGTAATATTCTGTTTTTTTTTTTTTGGGGGGGGGGGGTCCGGTCATGGGGCCTGAACTCTGGCCTTGGGCACTGTCCCTCAGCTCTTCAGCTCAAGACTAGTGCTCTGCCACTTGAGCCACAGCGCCACTTCCGGCTTTTTTTCTTTTTGCTTATGTGGTGCTGAGGAATCGAACCCAGGGCCTTGAGCATGCAAGGCAAGCGCTCTACCACTGAGCCACCTTCCCAGCCCAATATTCTGTTTTTTGAGGACCATCATGTCACCATAAGAGAAAGTTCATTCTTCAAAGTAGTTTGGTGAAAGTTCTATACTATTACCCAATAACAGGGCACTAGTTTCCCAAATCTGACTTACTTCTGAAGCCAGAGCAAACAGCAGAGCCATTGATGGAAGAAGGATACTCTAAACAGGGCTTCCCAGGTGATTCAGTGCAGTTTAGACAGGGAGGTTGTGAAGATCAGAGCCAGTGTGGCTGTGTTGAGCTGTTCTCCACAGTTCCCACAGTTTCTTCACCTGAAGACAGATCCTGTCATGCATTGGACATCTGCCCTCTGCAGTCTTCATTGGTATCTCTTTTATAAATGTACCTCCTCATTTTTGTTTCTTTAAGTATTACTGAGACTCTAGTCATGTTCTGGCTCTTAGACTTTCTTCTTGGTTAGTTTTTCTATATTTTCAGTTACTTTTTCTCTATCCAATTATAAAATCTTTCCCCCTAAACATTTACTAATACTTCATAAATTCCTTCAAGGTTGGTTAGTAGAATAATTTGCATGTGCTTTTATTTTTGTGACGTGTAGATCACAAGAAAAATCAAATATATTTCCTTTTAATGAACTTAATACTATTTTCAGAACAGACACAAACAAAACAAATATGTTTAGTTGTGAGATGAGATCCACAAAGAAGTTTTTGTTTTTCTTTTGTCCGTCATGGCGCTTGAACTCTGGGCCTGAGCTCTCCAGCTCAAAGCAAGCGCTCTACCACTTGAGTTACAGCACCACTTCCAGTTTTCTGAGTGGTTTATTGGAGATAAGAGTCTCATGGAGTTTTGATGGGGCTGACTTTGAATGGCGATCCTCAGATCACATCCTCCTAAGAAGCTAGGATTACAGGTGTGAGCCACTGGCGCCCAGCTTCCACAAAGAAGTTTTACCTGGATGAGACTGAGGAAAATATTGAATAAGAGATATTATTATTTATTTTTATGTTTTTTTTTTTTTTTTGTCAGTTGTGGGCCTGAACTGTGGGCATGGACACTGTCCCTCAACTCTTCAGCTCAAGGTTAGTCCTCTACCACTTGAGCCACAGCGCCACTTCTGGCTTTTTCTGCTTATGTGGTGCTGAAGAATCGAACCCAGGGCCTCATGCTTATAAGGCAAGCACTCTACCACTGAGCCACCTTCCCAGCCCAATAGATATTATTTACTTAAGAAAACTTGATTTTATTTTAATATTTATTTATTTATTTTTGTTGTTTTTTGTGTTTTGGGTCCGGTTGTGGGGCCTGAACTCTGGGCCTGGGCGCTGTCCTTCAGCTCTTCAGCTCAAGGCTAACACTCTACCTCTTGAGCCACAGTGCCACTTCTGGCTTTTTTCTTTTTGCTTATGTGGTGCTGAGGAATCGAACCCAGGGCCTCAGGCATGCAAAGCAAGCGCTCTACCACTGAGCCACCTTCCCAGCCCCTATTTTAATATTTAAAATTTTATTGTAAACACGATGTACAGAGTAGTTACAGTTACATTTGTCAGGAAATGAGGACATTGCTGTTGGAAAGTGTTATGCAATACCTCATTTTCTCTCCCTGTTTCCCCCAGGATAACTTAATTTTTATGTGATGCTTTTCTAAATTTGCCATATGATATATAGGTTGATATACAATCTAATATAAAGTGTACATCACTATTATAGACACGAATTTGGAATTCAGTAATTTAAAACTGGTATTTAAAATCAAAAGCACATATTTGAGGTCTTCTTTAGAATTGATGAGAAATAAGAAAATAGATTCAAAAGTAGCCTTCTACCAGGTTGTGTGAGATCATTACACCAGACCAAAGTTCTATATTCCCCATTAACAGGACACTGTGTACCTAAACCTAAAGTGATTGTTAAGCTGGAGCAAGGAGCAGAACCATGGCTGGGAGAAGCCCTAGATAAGAATGTCACAGGTGAGTCAGCATTTGCTGGACATGGATGTTAAAAAGAGAGAGCTCAGAAGATGTGACTATATTGAGATGTTCTCATTCCTATCCCATCTCCTGGATTCCTGTGTTCCTGATTCTTTCCAGCAGGTACTAGGGTAATGGATGAAGACATACTATAGTTTTGTAATAACATCATAAGAGGAGGAATGAATGTAACTAACCTACGTGACTTAATAGACAATGTCTCTCCTTTTTTTGCCTCTATATCATCAGATTTTACCAAGGCTAGCTTATGGGAATTACAGGAACAGATCAAATAGGCATATTCTAAGCAATAAGAAATAAGATATCGGGGGGTTGGGAAGGTGGCTCAGTAGAGTGCTTGCCTTGCTTGCATGATACCCTGGGTTCGATTCCTTAGCACCACATAAGCAGAAAAAGCTGGAAGTGGTGCTGTGGCTCAAGTGGTACGGTGCTGGCCTTGAGCTGAAGAGCTGAGGGACAGTGCCCAGGCCCGGAGTTCAGGTCCCACGACCAGCCAAAAAAAAAGAAATAAGATATCAGAAGGCAGTAATGTGAGTACACAAAGGCACTTTTCCTGTCTTTGACAGGAAGATTAGAAAAATTGATCTTGTATAAATCAGGTGCCTGTAATCCTAGCTACTCAAAAGGCTGAGATCTGAGGACTGTGGTTCAAAACAAGCCATGGCAGGAAATTTTGTGAGATTCTTATTTCCAGTTAACCACCAGGAAACCAGAAGTGGCACGGTGGCTCATGTGGTACAGTGCTAGCTTTGAGCTGAAGAGCTCAGGCCCAGGCCCAGAGTTCAAGCCCCACTACCAGCACCACACACACCCCCAAAAAAAATCCTGTCTTAAACACAGGATAAAGAACCATAAAACAATAAGTTTTCTTCTAAGATCAGTCACTCTGCAAATATTCACAGTTCCCATCGGGATGAGGGTCCCCATACTGTGTGTGGCAGAAAAGAAGTTCTTTGAACTCAAGTCTAAGTGAACCAACACTAATGTGGAGTATCCTAAAATCTGTGTGAGAGTATTTAAGGTTAGCATTTCTCTTTTATCTTTGGAACTCATTCTGAAACAAAAAAAGAAAATGGAAAACTTACAGGAACTCCATTTTCTGTTAACCCTGAAGATAGATGGTATCAGGAACTAAGGAGGACAGGATATTTGCAGCCTCAGATAAGTCAGAAAAGAAACTTCTCAATGGTGGAGCAGAAACCTAGGATTCAGAACCAAAGCTTTTAAAAAATGTAACCAAGTTTGGGGGTTTAGTGTCACCCATGTGGGCAATGCTATGAAAATAGGAATGTGGAAGATATTTTTTAGAACATACAAAAAAAAAGAGACTTGAAAATCCCCATAGGTACCAGGTAGAATTTTCTGGGCGGAGAGTTTCTCAAAGATAAGCATGAATCCTCCCTTCAGGAACCACTCCTGATTAGGTGACAGGTAATTTACCCTTTTATATATCCTTAGGTTCTCTGAACCTGGAATGCTGTCTTCAAATCTAAAGGTTTCAGAAGGAAAGTAGCACATAATTTTTGCAAAATATATAAAAACTTCCCTAAAACAAAACAAAATTGAGCCGGGTGCTGGTGGCTCATGCCTGTAATCCTAGCTACTCAGACGGCTGAAGACTGAAGATCTCAGTTCAAAGCCAGCCCAGGCAGGAAAGTCCATGAGACTCTTATCTCCAGTTAACCACCAGAAAACTGGAAATGATACTGTGGCTCAAGTGGTAGAGCTGAAGACCTCAGGGACAGTGCCCAGACCTAGAGTTCAAGCCCTGCAACAGACCAAAAATAAAAAAAAAAAATTGAAAGAAAAGAAAGGAAGAGAAATAATTGCAGATTATTTGTCTTCAGTTTAAAAGCAATAGCAGTTATTGAGTATTTTGACCAAATATTTCCTCTGATATTTAAACACACAATAAAACTTTAAGAACCAGAGAAGAATATGATTTTATTAGTATTTGTTAAGTAACTCCTTAGGGAGGAATGCATTCAATTCTCATAATTCCATTCCTAGTAGTATTATCTTTAGTAAGTAGAATGGGCGGAAATGTGTTTACCTTTACTTGAGTATTCTCTAAGTAATTCTTGGATGCCATCATGATTTTAATCTACTTATTTGTTAAACATTTTAGATGTCCAGCAAGTAGATGTCTTCGGTGAAATGTGCCAGGAAAGTCCAGACAGACATCTGTTACAAGTCATAATCAAAAGTAGCAACATAGTGGAGGAAAGAGTTCGTTTTTTAGGTGTAAAAAATGAAACAAATCTTCTTACTACAAACCAGATCTCAGTGTACAGCGGGAAACTCTCTCAGGAGAGATACCCTATGAATATAATGAATGTAATTACCAGAAATCAGATCTCAGCAAGCCTCAGAGAACTCAAGCAGGAAACAAATCACATGAGTGTAACACATGTGGAAAGTCTTTCAAGCAAAACCCATACCTCAATGTTTATCAGAAAAGACACAGAGGAGAGAAATCTTATGAATATAACCCATGTGCAAAGTCTTTCAAAAGGAAATCATAGCTCGAGGTGCATCAGAGAACATACAGGGGAGAAACCACATAAATGTAACGTGTGTGGAAGGTCTTTTAGCCAGATGTCTTATCTCTGCAAACATCAGAGCACACATACAGGAGAGAAACAATCTGAACGTAATGCATGTGGAAATTCTTTTGTCATCGAATCAAACCTAAAGAGGAATCAGAACACACACACAGAGGAGAAACCATATGAATGTGAGTCATGTGAAAAGTCTTTCGGCAAGATGTCTTATCTCCTCAAGCATCAGCTTACACATACAAGAGGGAAACCATATGAATGTAACACATGTGGAAAGTCTTTCACCCAGATGTGGTATCTCCACAGACATCAGAAAACACACACAGGAGAGAAACCTTATGAATGTAACACGTGTGGGAAGTCTTTCATAGTGATTTCACATCTCCGCATGCATCAGAGCACACACACAGGGGAGAAACCATATGAATGTAACACATGTGGAAAGTCTTTTGTCATCAAGTCCAACCTCACTAGGCATCAGAGAACACACACAGGGGAGAAACCATATGAATGTAAATCATGTGGAAAATCTTTTAGACGGATGTCACATCTCTGTAGCCATCAGAATAAACACACAGGAGAGAAATCTTATAACTGCAACACATGTGGAAAGTCTTTCTTCTACAAGTCAAACCTCACTGACCATCAGAAAATACACACAGGAGAGAAACCATATGAATGTGACACATGTGGAAAGTCTTTTCTCATGAAGTCACACCTCAATACACATCAGAAAACACACACAGGAGAAAAACCATATGAATGTAACATCTGTGGAAAGTCTTTCACCAAGAAGGCAATCCTCAATTATCACCAGACAATTCATACAGGAGAGAAGCCTTATGAGTGTAACAAATGTGGAAAGTATTTTGTCTACAAGTCATCCCTCAGTTTACACCAGACAACACACACAGGAGAGAAACCATATAAATGTAACAGATGTGGAAAGTCTTTTCTCACAAAGTCATACTTCAGTGTGCATCAGAAAACACATACAGGAGAGAAACCATATGAATGTGACACATGTGGAAAGTCTTTTCTCATAAAGTCACACCTCAATACACATCAGAAAACACACACAGGAGAAAAACCATATGAATGTAACATCTGTGGAAAGTCTTTCACCACAAAGGCAATCCTCAATTATCACCAGCCAATTCATACAGGAGAGAAGCCTTATGAGTGTAACAAATGTGGAAAGTATTTTGTCTACAAGTCATCCCTCAGTTTACACCAGAAAACGCACACAGGAGAGAAACCATATAAATGTAACAGATGTGGAAAGTCTTTTCTCACGAAGTCATACTTCAGTATGCATCAGAAAACCCATACAGGAGAGAAACCATATGAATGTAATTTATGTGCAAAGTCTTTCAGCCAGAGGTCTCGTCTCTGCATTCATCAGAGCACACATAAAGAAACCATATGAATGTAACACGTGGAAAATCTTACTGAAAGATTAAAAATTAGAGTTACATTTTACAATTGCTAACTGCTGATTTTGCTTCTGTAAACTTGCTTGCACTAGCACTGACCCTTCCCCTCCCTGGAAATAAGTAAAAAGTTTCAGACTCTAGATGCCGGCCCCGGGACAAGGTCTGTGGTTAAAGATAAAGAACAAAAGAGTGTGTTTTTCTAAGTTCTTGTTTGAAAATTCACCAAATGGGACCCAAGATAAGGACCATCTGGCGAGTCCAGCAAACTAAGTCAAACATCAACCAATCGCAAGCCTGCAACTATGTGAACTCCCCTCCAGGGTGACCGCTCCCCCTAGATTTGCCCTGAGCGAACCATTTTACGAAGAATGTTACAAAGTTTCCCTCGTAGCAAAATGATTGCTGGAGTACACAGTGACTTGTAGATGGACCAATCCCGGGGCACCTGGTTTCTTATGCTAATCCTGTGGTTTTTGCCTTTAAAAATGCCTGTAACCACTGGGCAGGGCTCTCTCTCTTGCCAAGGCAGAGAGACCGATTGTGCAAACGCTGAATAAACTCTTGTTTGTTGCATCTGCTGGTTTGGAGTCTTGGTTTCTGGGGCGCCTTCCCGCAGACGAAAGTATCACAGGAGTCTGGGGTCTTTCATTACCAAGTCACACCTCAGTACCCATCAGAGAACACACTCAGGAGAAAAGCCATATGAATAGCACAATTCATCCTTCAAGAGGCATCAGAGAACACATAAGGGACACGCTATATTAATCGAACACATGTGGAAAGCCTTCAGATATATCAAATCTCCTCAAGCATCAGAGAACACAGAGAAAAGAAATATTAGAAATGTAACAAATGTAGAAAGTCCACTACAAGTCAAACCTCAATGTTCATCTGAGAATACAGACAGGAGCGAAACCTTATGAATGTAACAATTGTGGAAGGTCTTTCAAGCAGAAGTTTAATCTGAGTGTGCATCAGAGCATTCACACAGGAGAGAAACCTTATGAATGTTGCAAATGTGGAAAGTCTTTCACTTACAAGTCAGATCTTAGCAGACATCAGAGTTTGCACAGGAGAGAAATCAGCACCAAATCAGACAGATGGAAATGAGGATTATAAGAGTTTTGAACATGTATTTTAATGCTTTTTTATTTCATCGATTTGTTTCTAATGCATTTATAAGATTATCTCTTTGTTGCTATGTATGTCCCTCCCCCACAGTGTAACCCCTGCTTTCACTATATTTGATGTCAGTATAACTTGTGGAGGAGATGGGGAAAAACAAGTCATTTAAGGATACAGGTGGACCTGTTGCAACAATGAGAAGTACAAGTTGTCAAGTTGTCATGTCGAAAATGAGCTTTACAACATTGGTGTGGGGGGGAGGATTGAGTGGTGGGGAGGTAGGGGGGAGGTAGGGAAGGGATGTGAAGGGTAAACAAAGGAGGAGGCTGCAATGCTTGATAAGAAATGTATGCATTATCCTGCCCATGTAATTGTAACCTCTCTGTACAGTATGTTCACAAAAAAATAAAATAAAATTTAAAAGAAAAAGAGTTTTGAACTTTATTCTGAGCCACCTTTTAACCCTGTACCTCCTTCATAGAGCATCAGAATTAGAGAAGTTGATGTTGAGCAGCATACTTTGGTGAACTACCTGATGGAACTGTCTATATTAGATTATGAAATGGTGCACTTTCCTCCTCAAATTCCAGTAGGAGCCTTTTGCTTTGCCCTAGAAGTTCCTGATGATGGTAAATAGACACTACCTCTTCAGAATTACCTGTTTTACACTAAGGAATCTCCCCTTACTACACAGCACCTTGCTAAGGACATACTCATGGTGAAGGTGGCTTTCAACATGACTCTCAAGAACAAGTATGTGAGGCTGGGAAGATGGCTGAGTGGTAGAGTGCTTCCCTTGCATGCCTGAGGCCCTGGGTCCAATTCCTCAGCACCACATAAGCAGAAAAAACCGGAAGTGGTGCTGAGGCTCAAGAGGTAGACCGCTAGCCTTAAGCTGAACAGCTGAGGGACAGCACCCAGGCCCAGAGTTCAGGCCCCATGACCAAAAAAAAAAAACAACAAAAAACCAAAACCAATGACTATGCTTCATGTAGGCCTGTCAACAGCATTTTAACACAGGTGAATTCTACAGTAGTTCAACATATATCCAGAGCAGGGGTTAAAGTGTAACTTGTGAGCTTGAGTTAAAATACTATGATAATAGCTGCAAATAAAATTGGCACCATGTGTCATTTTTGAATATTATCTTACATTGACTAGGATTTTAATGAAGGTTGTGAAATATTTACTATTAATACCTTAACTCATCTGAATGTAATTACTCTAGGGGATCCCAAATCTCACCTTAGCCCAAACAATCATACTGACATGACATCTTAACTCTATCCCCTAACTCTACCTAATGCTAAACCTAACCCAATTCTGACCCTAACCACAGCCAAAATGTAAACCCTAACTGAACCTCAACCCTCACACCTGATTGGAGCCTTCAGTCGAACCTCTGTTCAAGCCTCATTCCATTGCTAATGCCCAGCCTAGCACAACTTGTGATTCTACCTCTAAGCAGAACCCTAGCCTTACTACCTAAGACCACTCAAAACCCTTGTCTATACTGCTGAGGCCACCAATAAGCCTAACCTAAGCAAAAGCCTCACTCTAACATGAAGAGGCCTTCAAACAAAGAAAAGGGTGGTCTGTGCTCTGAATCTAACAATTCCTGAGTCTAGCACCATTGGTGTCGGACATGCAGGCAATGCTGGTTTCCCTGGCCTCCTTTTCCCTGATCTATCATCTTTTTCACAGTTCTAGAGACATGAAAAGGTGTGTGGTGCAATAGGTGGAATTAAAAGAATAATGAAGCAGCCAGTGTTTGTCTATTTTCCCAGTCTGGGAATAAAATTATGGGCCTTGCCAACGTTGGGCAAACTTAAAGCTAACAGAACGCACCACAGACTGTGTGGATAGCTCAGTGGACCCATCTACCCATCCATCCAACTAAACAAAGAATTTAAAAAGCATCAACAACAATATGTTCAAGCTAGCAACCAAACCATGAGGTGTCCCAGAAATTTTTTTTAGAAGCTCACATCTAATTCTTCCTAGACAGGCGTTTCAGTTCATGAGCCACAACCCTAACAGTTGTTTTTTTCTTGGTTCTTCTTTGTTTCTTTAGATTTTGTTTTTAATGACTTACTATTCAAAAGGGGGCAAGGTTTGGTCACAAGTCCATGAGCAAAACAAGGACATGTGCCTTTTAGCTGCCCAGAAGAAGCCAGTTGGACCCTAGATAAGGCCTAGCCCAGGCCCAGACGCCCTCTCTCTGCGCTCTCTCTGCTCTCTCTGCTCTTTTCTAGCTCTTTCCTCTCTCTTTCCTCTCTTTCCCAGCTCTCTCTCATTCCCAGGCCTTTCCCAGCCACGTGGAGTGCCAACCTTGCCTGGTCCCAGCAGGTCTACTGAATAAACCTACCCCTTACCTGAATACCACGTGCGTGCTGCTGTTCTTACTCGGCTACCTCTTTTTAAAAACCAAACATAAATGGTGCCATGACTCGGATAAAGGGCTTAAAGTCAGGATAGGTGGGATTCCTCTCTGGTTTTTTTTCCTCTTTTTTCTTTTTCTGTTTTTCCCTTTTTGCTCTGAGGAATACCCACAGTTCTGACGGCCTTTTGCGAACCCGTCTGTCTGCTGTGGACACAGCACATCGATACCATTGCTGCCTTCATATCCACATCCACACCATTTCTCTACTCTGGTGAGTGAAACTACTCTCTATGACTCTCTGTTGCAAAGTCTCTGTTCAGATGTGGTGCCACGCCAGAGAGCTCCTACGGCCTTTAGCTGAAAGGCCGGTCACCTCTGAAGCCGAGGACGCTTGGTTTTGGGGGGTTGGCCATTTCTCTCTAGAGGGCTCTGGGGGAAGTTGGTACGCTGCTTCTGCCTGGTCAGCGCTCTCCTTCATTCACCAGACTGACTCTCCTACTCATTTAATGGGGTGCTGCGAGTCACGCCCACGCAGTGAAACCCCTTTAAAATGCCTCCTGCGCTTCCTGGAAAGCCAGAGCACCTCATTTTTATGCCATTCTCAGATGTACACAGTTTTTGCCACTGCAATGGTAAATGATCAGAAGTCTGTTTACTTTCGGGCTCTCTTTGCTCTCTCTGCCATTCATGTCCAACTTTCCCTATCTCTCCCTTTCTCTTTTCTACATTTTGGCTTGTGCCCTGAAGGGTCCGATGCAGGCTGGGTCCTGGGGACCCCCCTCTAGGTTCCCTCTCAAAGGCTAGCCAATATAGGCTTGATCTATTTGTTCAGGGTTTCTTTGCATTTTTCAGAAATTCGCCATCTTGAATTCTCCATCTTGGCCACATGGTGGGTTAAGGGTTTGGCCCCATCTGATCCTTAACCTTTCACCAAACTTACTACGCCATCCAGCTATTCTAAGATGCCTTGCTAACAAGTTGCTCTTTTCACAGGCCCTGGCAACTGAGGCCCAACCATGTGATGTGGTTTGTTAGCAAAGATGTCTAAACATTGTTGTCAAAATTTTAGATTTTGAGTTTTGCCTACATGGTTCTAAAATACTGGGCATATCTGTGCTATAATTCTCATTACATCTAATGAATTTTGTCATTTCAGAATATTTGTTGGCAATTCTTGATAAGGACTAGGTAAGCTCTACTTGTTCTATTTGATCTCCTTGTTGCTTTAATTGGAAATAATAAAGGGCTTTTGTGGCAAAGATTGCAGTTCAAAGCCAGCCCAGGCTGAAAAATCCCTAAGATTCCATCTCCCAACTAACCTGCAAAGAGCCAGGCTGGAAGCATAGCTCAAGGCTCTACTCTGCAAGTGGTACTATAACTCAAAGTGGTTCAGTGCTAGCCTTGAGCAGAAGTGCTCAGGGACATTGCCTAGGCCTTGAGTTCAAACCTCCTTGAATACCAACTGGGAGGGACAAGCCATCCCAGCAACGAGCACCTAGACTCAGCCAGTCTGGGTGTCCCAACCCGCAGGACATCAACCAGGGCAGTGAACCTAAGCTAGAAGGAATAAAGGGACAAGAGACACGAAGAATGACAGCAAGACAAGGATTCTGATCAAGCTGCAAATTTTTATTTTTCACACAGGGGTATTTATATGCATGGAAGCTTTTTCATTGGCCATTAAGGAAGCTTTTTCATTGGCTGAAGCAGCTGTAGGATGTTTGCTTATGTCAAGGTGAAAAGGTGGTCTGCCTTTAGCAGCTGCAGGGTGTTTGCTTAGGGCAGGGTGAAAAGGTCGGATTCTGTAAACAGCCTCAAGATGTTCCAGTGAGATAGTCAAGCCTATTATGTTGAGAGACTCAACTTTTGGCTCCCGACACTGGAAAAGAAGGGAACATGGAGAGGAGTAAGAGGAGATGATGTCACATCAGCCACTTTGTGCCTGCCCTTTCAAAATTAACCAGAGCTGGGAGATTAGTAGAAGTAAGAAGCCTGCCAATCTAGTGTCCATACCTGTCTACCTATTAACTGGACAAGAATTTATATTCTTGCCTTTGTTACCTAACTTCTCCTCTACCTAGTCATCAGCTGTCAGAAGTAGCTAGGGACATTTCTACCAACATTTTCAGCCCCAAGTCCTTCTCTAGCCATTTATTTGCTCTCTAGTATTTTTTTTTCCAGCCCCTCAATGCTCATGAGACTTCTCCAGACTTCATCTAAGGACTCACGCCAACAAGTGACAGCTGCTGCTCACAGCCTTCTCTGGGAGGGGACCAAATTCCAGCCTTTTGTTGACACCCCTTGTCAGCAGGAAGAAGCCAGAGAGAATCCACACCCTATTTCATGATTATTAAAAGGCTGGAATGTAAGGTCTGCTCCTGTATGGCTATCAGACTTCACCCTCCTCACAGCAAAGTCTCCACCCAGTACTTGCCTTACCTAGGCAACTGGGACACCTAGAAGAGGTCACGTATGAATTTGATGTGGCCACACCTTTCTCCACTGGTACCCTAGATAAGGCCTGCCCCAGGCCCAAATGCCCTCTCTCTGTGCTCTCTCTGCTCTTTTCGAGCTCTTTCCTCACTCTTTCCTCTCTTTCCCAGCTCTCTCTCATTCCCAGGCCTTTCCCAGCCACATAGAGTGCGAACTTTGCCTGGTCCCAGGAGGTCTACTGAATAAACCTATCCCTT